AAACCAAAGCAATCCCAGATTACTTTCGACACTCAATTGAGCGTTTTTAATTGCTCTAGGTATCCCACACGAGTTAATAGCCTCACAAACAGGACTCGATCTAATACTATTCATACTGCAACTCAGTGCTGTGGCAGTGAACTGAGATGACTTCACCGCTCAAGACACCGCGACTTCTGATCCTCATGTTTGTGCAGATCTTGATCCTTTGTTTTACCGTTACTGAAGCATACAAATGGGACAACTGCACTAGAGCAATTAAAACTCTTAAAGCAGTAATGGACAAAAGGTTTGGGAAACTTAAACGCGATGTAGAAATGATAGCTTGGGGACTGAATCTCTTGAATCCTTCAGCCAGGGTGCATTCCGCATAGATCTTACGCCGAAGTTACGCCGAAGTTACGCCGAGGGCTTTGAAAATGTACGCCGAATAGGCCACAATTCTACACCGTTGGTAGCATACTACGCCAATAATTGCCCCCGGGCCCAGATCTTTTGCCGCCGCGCCGCCGCCGCGTAAGAGAGGCGGGTAAGAGAAATCCTGCAGCTGGAGACTAGTTTGTTGAAGGGATGTCCATGTTCGCTATCAGGAGGAAAAACATTTACTTTTCATATTTATGCGTTCAGTGATGGTGCTTTATTTTATATAGCCATCGCTAGAAATCGAGGACATAAGAGCCGGCTAATATTGATTCAGGATCGTTTTCACTTATCCATTGACAAGGAACTATGAATTTCCGTTGTTATCAGTTATCACTTCCGCACCTTAAAATTTTAGAAACAATATTGCTCATAGAAACAGGTGATATTCAAGGTGTGCACCTTAATTTTCGCACAATATGCATTAAATACATATACTATCGTGCTTCGCTTGAGTAATTTTGCATTTGCTAACCGTTGTCAAGAGGTATACATCTTTTAATCTTTGCGTTCCGGCTTTTACGTTCCTTTCACATGTCAATGAGCTACAGGAAGTATAGATCCACTTCACATGACTTAATAGACAGAAGTTGGTCATTAGGTATACAGCGTAGACCAATAAATGTCCAAATTCCTGAAGGAAAGCAACCAATTGCTTGCCTTTTTATATAATTTGTGAATTTATGTTCTTAAATTTTAGGAATCGTCATGCCAAACAAATGATGATCAGCGTTAGCACAGAATACATACATGTTGTCTTACTTATCTGCCAGGAAAGGACAGCGACCTGAATACGAATCTATTCGATCCCCGACTTTCCGGCGAGACTGAATAATGCTTCTCTTATCCTGAAAAGAAAGCATTTCGTCCGTGGGAGCGGATCACATCATCTCCTTTCAAATGCAGGCTGACGCTTTCATGAATGATATCATCACACTTTAATGAGGGTAAACACCAGTTCAGTTTCATTCTTCTGGAAAGTGTCTCATTTGATTGGCCTCCAGACTTTTGCTGTGCTCTCATGCAGCTATAATAGCTTTCTGCAATGGCCTCTGGTCCCCCTTTTGCTAGTACAATATCCAGGATAGCGCATGATTGTGGTTGTGCGATGCTATAAATGTCTTCTTGAGAGTAACATGAGCTGAAAACATTCTGTTCGTGTAAACGGACATTGTACTCCTGTCCACTGGCAAACTTCATCTTAAAAACGGCGTCCAAAGTATTGAAGGGGCATGCTCAAACAGGACAAGATTAGCATCCTAGTCAGTTTCAATGGCTCATCATGATCAGTACCTTGAACCATAAACCAAGTAGGACTTAGACTTTTCCAAATACCTACTGTTACAGTCTCTTTAATTCTTTCCATGTAACGGAATGCCAGCCGAGGATCTAGATCCATTCCCGACTTCTGGATAAGTTCCATGTTAGAACCAACTGTTAGGACAGCCTCACATGCTCTTACGCCATAGGTATCGTACTCGACGTGCTCTATTTCCAACTTCACGACGCCATCTGCCAATAAAGCGCCACATTGTAGCCCCACCAGACCAGCCCCATCGAATGCCTGGAAAACCGTCGAGGAATGGTCTGACACAGCAGATTGCACTCGACGGTCTAGTGCATTCATCAGATCAGATGCAACACGTTTGTGATCTTCTTTAATGTCGCTTTCTTCTCGCAGTTTCCACGTAAACCGACCTCCAGTAACGCGTTTTTCCTCGTCTTTTGTGACGAGCCAGCCTTTCAATAGCTTAACTCCTTTCTACTTTCCACCAGGCTTCAACGTCTCTCTAACTTTCTTTAATCGCGGGAAATGCACTGTATCACCACTAGCAACTTCTGATTGCTTTGGTTTAACCCTTCGCCACCAGAGTTTCAACTTCCACACAGGAGTGTCAAGCGACTGGACACGTAGCATTAGATCAACCGTTGACACGCCCCATGATATCCAAGCAGGCCAGCAAATCAACAACAAAATCTGATCCGGCAATCATGTACTGGAGCTCTTCCTCTTCATTTCGATTTGGATACAAGGCTTCAAATGCTTTCCAGAACGATCCATAGCTTTGCTCAATTTTACACCACTGTTCATAGGAGGAACTGGCATATCGCTGACCTACATACGCTACCGGTCTTACAGATGTTTCATCTACTAGCTCAGTGAAGGAAGGCAAAACCTTTCCCATTGGCCAAAATGGGATTGAAGACGTTGAATCTTTTCAGAAACGTTTGGAAGAAGATGCCACCAGGTAATTTCGAATCCTTGACGCCAGACACGCCCAAATTCAAGATGTGAGCAGCATCCCATGTCACTGGTAAGGCCAGGTGATCCTCCCGAGTTTCGACGATGTTTAATGCCTCTAAGAGCTTTCTGAGAAACCCACTTGCCTGGCATGGACCATCTACTGCAACGCCACACAGTCTTGAAAGCACCTCTTTTGAAAAATTGTTTTCATTTGATTTGATAAGAAGCTCTGCTAGCACCTCGTTTGACGCTTGTTCATGCTCTGAGTAAATCCCGGGGGAACCGACAGGAATCGGACAGGGAACGCCAGTTTCATCACGGGCAACGACCAGTATGGCCTGATTTGTTGTTCTAGATGGTGTACCTTTATCCACCGTGCCCCATATGTGAGGTGGCAGTTGGGTCGAGGGTAGAGGGTGGTTTAGCCAAACATTGATTATCTTCCGTTGACTGTTTTCTCCAGACAATAGAGAATGTCGTTAAAGTTGTTGCGACTGTGACCAATCAACCACACTCGCGATGAGCGTTTTGATCTATTGGAAACGCTGCAAGAACATCGTGAACAGTTGCTGAATGTTCGTGTTCCTTCAATAGCTACCACGAGGATACGCGACGAAGATTTGCAGACGAGTTTGGTGCAATACAGCGTCCTTAAAGATACCATCCTTTCTATGGTAGAGAACTTGGATACATTGGAGTAATATATAATGCGTGGGGATGATGGCGAGGCCGAAGCTGTCGAGGACTAACTTCCACAACAAAAAACGGCTCTTTTAGGAGCCACGACGTAAACGAAAGTCTTGATCAATAGTTTGCATTTTCTGAAACCCTTTATTTTTTGGAGGGGGCGGGGATTCCAAGTTGTACGACCGTTTTGGTCACTGGTCAGTACATTGTTCTGGAAAGGGTAAGTACGGAATATTATACACTCAGGACAGCAAGTTCTAGTGTTTCTTCCAATCAAGAGCTCGCGAGCTACGAGCATTCACTGAAACTCAGCGAAAAGCAATAATCCACTTCCCACATTAAAAAAGAGAGGAAACACGGGGCGCGAGTAAGCGCGCGCTCAGTTATGGTATCGTTTGGGGACCCGCAAAAAGTTAAAAACAAATGCGCGTGCCTTTCTTAGTCCCAGGTTTCCACTCTTCTGAAAGAGAACAAATTCGCCTTCGAACGCGCAGGTATTAGAGCGGTTGCTTGCCAATGCTCGCTGGCCGGATACAAGTATTGTACTGTGACAGACGTTCTACAAAGATATATGCACTCAAAAAGATCATACATTTATTCATTTATTGGCCACAGCCGCCACAGGTCAAGTGGCCTTTCGTGGCTACGCCAGGTTAGTGAGGGTACGCCGATTACGCCAAGTATTGCCTTCATCATTCGCTTGAGTACGCCGACATCTTGTCGATCGCACGCCGGTACGCCGCAAAATTTTAAAACCCACGCCGAAGATCTTCGGCGCAACCTAAACTAAATGCACCCTGGCCCGCACAGTGACATAGTTTATGACTGTCCAATTATTAAAAAAAAAAAAAATAGATAGCGGGCACGAGAAGTAAAAAATGCGCGATACTCAGCGTGTAACAAAGTCCATTTGCTAGACTATGAGCTGTCCCTTTTTTTTTTTCATGGATTTCTTGGATTCGCACGGCGGATTTCGCCGAGAAGGAGGGAATTCTCGCAGTTTAGCCCAATGCATATACTTGATAGCTTCGTTATTTAACGAGTCCCGGCAAACGAGGCCGTCCGCAGTATGTCTGAGAGTGCGATCGAGCGTCTCCGTTCAGCATATGTCGTAATGGTGGACGGTCTCGTCAGCTAGGGCTCGTTAAACACGAGCTGACGATTCTGACCCTTCTCAAAGTGTGCATGGGAACAATGTTATACGCTGGATATCACACTTTTTTACCTTTGTAGAGGTATTTATCACGTTACACATAAATTTCTTTTACTTTATCTTCACTTTTCACCAGACGCACGCAGCATTTATTTGTTAGATTAATCAACGAAGACTTGCAATGTTCGCGGCTGTGCCGATACATGGAAAAAACATTTTACATTTCCCCTTTGCCTACTTTACTGCGTTAATGTTCGACTAGAATTTATTATTAATATCCTCTTAACTGAGAACAATTTTTTCACGTACGTGATATCAGCGAGACAGGAAACTGATAAGTTTACAAAACATGTTTCGACATTATCATGTCAGGTCATTCTCGCATGAAAATATTCTAAAACATTAAAAAGAGCTAAGGAGGCCCCATTCAAACCATCTTGAAGCTGAACTGGACCAGCTTACATAAATGTTGCTAGTGAAGAAATAAAAAGATAATCTCCCCTTCACCAGAACAAATTCAGTTTTCCTATTCGATCGGTAGCCATCTAATTTATGGACCATCTTGTTTTCTTTTTATTTTGATTAGCTGTACATCATTGCATGTCATTGCCCTGAGGCTGCTTTCGGGTCAGAGGGGACTTTGTTGATAGAAATGGTTACGTATAAGATTTCAATGGATACCTGAATCTCGTAAAAAAACGTTTAAGTTCGTGTGTATCTTGATATGGCAAGGAGAAAATAAATATGAGATACGACAAAAATAATTCAATTTGAAATACCAGCTGGCTATAGTTTATACCGTAATTCGTGGCGTGATAAACAACAAGGAAGATTCGGTACATATAAAAGCGAGCGCCAAGTAACGTTTGAGATCTGATTCCGGGCCAAACCATTCCGCAGACAACAATCGTGAGAGCTCATGGTTTATTCGGCAGTTTGTTTTCGGCCGATCGAAATGATTATACTTCATCTTGCGATAACGCTTTAAATTATCTTGACCTACTTGAGCTCCTTCACAGGTATTGTAGCTCTTTAATCATTCAAAACTTGTTTTCTCTTGATTTTGATTATTACACTGAACATTATTTCCCTGAGGCTGCTTTCGGTTCAAAGGAGACTTAGCTATTAGAAATGGCTGTGTGTAAGATTTCAATAGACGACTGAATTTTATGAAATACCTCTAAGTTCCTGTGTATTACGACAAGGAAAGGAGAAAAAAATTAGACAAAAGAATAATGTTTCAATTTGAAATACCAGTTGGCTTATATTTTTACAATGATTCATGGCATGACGCGTAACAAATACTAACAAGGAAGAGTCGGTGCATATAAAAGCGAGCGCCACGTAATGTTTGCGGCAGACTCCAAACCATTCGACAGACATCAGTTCCGAGAGCTCGTGGTTTATTCAGCAGTCTTTTTCAGGCGATCGAAATGATCATACTTCATCTTGCGATAACGCTTTATATCACCTTGACCAGCTACAGCTCCTTCACAGGTATTGTACCAATTCACTTTGGTCACAGACTGGTCTCGGCTTCTGTCTCATTATGGACAATTTTTTCTGAAAATTTTCTCCGTTTTTCTCTTCTCTTAAATTTTTTTTAATGTCTTGATAACTCTATCTTTTTATTTTACAATTAGGCATGGGGGATTGAACAACACAAGTAGCTCCTTAATAATTCAAAACTCGCTTACTCGTTTAATTTTTTTTCAGCGATTATTCTTGCTCAGTCTACAGAGGTTACCATCATATCGAAAGCTAGTTTACAAAAGCAAATCTTGTCCATAATAAATTTCGTTGCATTGCAATTTTGTTTCATTCAAAGGAAAAAGAGGGAAGTTTAGTTACTGTTTTCGCACCCTTAATCCATTAAATAAAATCCATCGCAACCTAAAAAGAGATGACTGAGAACACATTCCCGTTTTTTTTCCTGAGTAGCTTCGAGCGGTTTAGGCTGCAGTCATCCCAGAGATCCGTATAGTCCTGCGCTCCAAGTGGATCTGAGGAAAAATAAAGTCTACGGTAATGACACCAATATCGTTTGGGTGGACCATTTGAAGGCAAAGCGAGGAGTTTGTGCTAACCAAGGTAGGAAATAACAAGAACCATTTTCAAATTTGATAATCCAGACCAAAACAAAATGGTAACCAATGCTTGCTCAGATTCACATTCACGTGATATATTACTGAGGCAACCATGATATAAATTCAAAATGGCGTCCGAAAGCACATTTACCGCACTGACTTTACTAAACCGATTGTTTTCGAATGGAACTTGTGATCTTCAAAGAAAGGTAAAAATTGAAGCACAGAAGCACATCTTTGTCGGAGCCAAGTTGAATTTTCTTCTCTTCTCTTTTGAGATTCTCTTAGTAGTATTCGTGATGTCCTCCCCTAAATTCCATCTTGCTCAGTTGTAAGCAAAGGTGTTACTTGAACTATAGGTCTTGGCTTTCCTTCCCAATAGTGTTAAAATAGCAAATCTTGTCTGTTTTTCTTCAGTTCAAAGGTATTTTTCCTGAACTATGCCAGGTGCTAAGTGGGGCCTCCTGTGAAATACCTGTAAAGAGAATTAGGATTTATAAAAACAAAACAATATAAAAAATCTAGAAAATCCATAACAATAGTGATATGATATGATATTATTCAACAATTATTCCACAAGCGCGCGTTGGATATGAGATGATAGATAGCCAACGAGGCGCGTAGCGCCGAGTTGGCTATAATCATCTCATATCCAACAAGCGCGAGTGGAAGAATTGTTTTATTAAAAACGCCCCCAAGATATTAGACAAATCTTACCAAATCTTAAATTTTTTAGCTCCCTTTTAATATTAAGCTGACGCGTACGCTTACCATATTTGTAGATTATGGTATATTGGCTCATATACCATAATGGCTAAGCCAATAAAAGTCTTGAATTGCATTATCCAATGATCAGTTTTTAATAATACACAATATATGTTATATAATATTTTCAGTTAATTCTGAGACAAGTTATACAACATGGTTGCTACAGCCATAGGTTAATGAAATTCCCTGACAAATGCAAAATTTCCCAGACCAAGTCTTACAGTTTCACTAATTAGCTCAAGTGATGACCTCCAACCACCTCCCGCAGCCATCCTCGCCTCCCAATTATTTACATTTTCAGTAAGTCTCATGCAGGGCAGATTAACTGACAGTTTCTGCTTGAAACAACTCGAAAAATGGATTATTGACTTTGTTGGAAACCTTATGCCTGTATCTCATTAATTTTCACACAACAATATTTACACAATCCAGCACATTTTTTGTCTGCTTCTTCTAAATTACAATTCAGTCTGGAATTTGATAGATCAAGAGCCACTATGTATTGCCACCAAAACCATTTTGTTTATATTCATTGTAACCCAATTTAGTTAATTTAAAATTCAATGTCTATAAAAACCCTCCAAAATACTTGAATAACCAAAAATATCTTCCTTTCCCTGACTTCTCTGAAAAACAAGTCTTCCCTGATTTAGAGTGAAATACCCTGACTTTTTCCTGACTTTGAGAAATCTTTTTTCCTGACAATTTCCTGACCTGTGGCAACCATCTGGGTAAAATCTGAACTTGAGCCAAGTGGCCCATCTAGTCGGACCTTATCCCGTTTTGTTCAGTAGTGTGAAGTGACAAGAAGCCAAATCAAGGTCAACCCTCAAACGGAGCGCTAGTTTGATGATGAACTTGTTTGCTTTTCATTAATAACGGCGGATCTAAAATACGGCAGCTGATCACTGGTAGTTGGTAGAACTGTATCTATTCATTAACTTTCTATGGAATTGTTGGTACATACGTCGAGCAATAACGAATAAACAGCGAACATTTCGAACTGGGTACAAAAATCCTCGGTTAGCTGAATTGGTTCGAGCGCCGGATTGTGTCGCGCGGGAGGTCGAAGGTTCGAGCTCCGGCCGGACCAATACTCGTGGTCTTAAAATAACTTGAGGAGAATTTGGTACCTTTCTATAATATCAATTAGAACATAGCTAGCAGAGCCGCGCAATCAAATTCAATATATACGTAAGCGTGCTCAAATCCTGATAGTGCACGCTGGTAGCGTCAGCAATTCGCTTCGCCAGAAATTTTTTTTTTCGCGAGAGTGGCCATTGTTAGCGCGGGGAAAAATATTATATTTCGCGACAATAATGGATACAAACAGAGACTCGGCCCACTAGTCCCAAAACGAAGACAATTTTCCGACCTTTTCCCATGGGCTAGAGTTCTTAAATGAGGCAGAAAAAGGGAAAAACAACGGAAAAGGAGACTCGGCATCAGCGCCGTCACGATTCGCTTCACTTGATACTGTTGTCCGTTTTTCGCGCCGGATTTGATGCACAATTCCACCGGCTATGTTCTAAAAACAATTGGTTCATGCTTTTAGCTGTGCATTATCGAGTTATGGAGCACGTGGGAAGTTTGGAAAGCACTCAAGAAGCTAGAGTTGCCCTCGGCTATTGCCTCGAGCAACTCTTACGCTTCTTTCGTGCTCTCCAAACTTCCCACGTGCTCCATAACTTGATAGTGCCCGCTAAAGCATGGACGAATTGTTAAGAAATGGAGAGATATTCTAGTCTTCTCGGATAAGGATGAATAAACCGTAGGCCCCGTCTCCTGCAGGGTTAGGGGTAGGAGACGTTAATTTCCCGCGCACGAGATTACTGTGATGGATGTCCTCCCCTGGGGTGGGATGGGTGGGTGTTACACAGGGCCCCATTTAAACCAGCTGAGTGCTGAACTGGGCTACCCTGTATAAATATTCGCAAATACGTACATACATACATTTCCATAATGGACTCCATATTATGACGTCACGTGGTTATCAAATTTGATAACGATCCCGGACTGTATAGTACCGTGATGTTTACTGTCATTTATCATGACACTGTGTGACGCGTTGGAAGTTTCTTTTTGAAAAATTTTGTCATCTTGGGTCCTTAGGATGTGCCAGAGTTTAGAAGTGAGAGTTTAAAATTCTAATCGAATGAATCAATTCTGATTGATCAATCAATCAAATAAAAGTAATTAATTAAAATTAATTAATTGGTTAACGCGTTGTTATTGAATTGAATTTGTAATTACATGCAATTTACAGGAAAGCTTTGAATAAGATTTGACCAAAGAAGTACCTTTAAACGAACTGCGAGAATTGACCTGTGATTTGCACGTCGAGTAAAAAACTAGTTTGGTTGTATAGGATAGGAAAAAACATGACTAGTTTACATACAAAGCTGATATGACTTTTCCAGGCAAGATTATCGTCATTATACCAAGACTTTCAGTCAACAAAACGAGCACTGTGATTGGTTGATTCTTGGTCATGTGCCCCTGATCAAATTCAAATGTATCCCGACCGAGATTCGCAGTTGGTGCCCGCGCGCCGAATACAACAGCATGTTTTTGCCATATGACTGTTTAAGGGAAAGTATAAATATATATATAACAAAGCATTTAATGTATGGTCCCACGGGAAACTAGTTAATTTTGTTTTCCCTCAAGTCCTGAGCTTAACTGAAATCATATTACTTAAATTTACCTTAGAATTACTTGCAATTCACAGGTAAGCTTCGCATAAGGTTTGACCCAAGAGGAAAAGTAACAAGGTGCCCCAAATGGACTGCCAGAATTGACTTGTGGTTTGCACGTAAAGTGACAAGATTCTCCTTTGATATTGGCGATTCACCCACCGTCAATGGATGGGGTAAGAGAGGGGACTTAATTTACTGCGCTGAAATGCCTTTGTAAGGGAGTAAAACATTACACACACACACGCATTTATATATATATATATCTATATATAACATTAAGTAACATTAAGTCGGTGGTAGTAGATCCCACGTACTGCAGGCGACATTTCTTACAGGAAGCCAAGTAAATCACATTTTTAGAGTCACAGGAAAGTCTAGAGTGAATGGTGTAATCATTTGCCCGTCTGAAAGCTGAGAAATGATTTAGATTCAACAAAGAAATTCTGACAGAGGTCGCATCTTTTCCTATCGCATTTAAAGCAGCCATTGTTATGAGGAATGGTTTGTCTCTAGCTGGCAGTAGGAGGTAACAGTAGGTAATGGTTTGCCTCTCGCTGACAGCAACGACTATATATATATATATAT